CTGGCAAGCGTGAGGTCATGAGTTCAATCCCTGGTACTGGAAAAAAAATAACCCCACAAAAAACAACAAAAAAACTCCACAAAAAGATGCCCTGTTCCAGGTCATGGCCCCGGTGACCTGCGTCCTCCCGCCAGGGCCACTTCCCAGCATCCGCTCAGGTAGGGGTCCCCATGATTGAGTCACCGGAAGCCCCACCTGCCTCACTGCCGCACTGGGGGTGGAGCCTCCCACAGACAGCCCTGCCTGGCTCCCACCGACCTGAACCGTAGCACTGTCCCTGGACCCCAGAGGCTGACTTTTCTTGTCCAGGCGTTTTGTGAGGGATGGGAAAGCTTCAACCCCCCGTCAGGTACGGAAAGAACAGAGTACCACTCCCACTGCAGGGTTCAGAGGCGGGCTTCGGGAGTGATCAGAACGGAGCTGCAGTCATTAAATCCTGGTAAATCCTCGAGGCCTCGTGAGGCGGAGACGATGACACAGACCCAGCCACACACGCGCCGCCTGCCTCGCACCGTTAGGCTGCCCCGTGACGCCTCAAGGAGGCCGTCACCTGCTGGGAGCCCCAAACCTCCAGAACCATAAGCCAAGAGAAGCTTCTTTAGTTATTTCATCAAAAACAGGTTCACCCATGTCGTACTTGTTTTTTTTTTTTTTTGTCTTTTTTGAGAGAGGGTCTCACTATGCAGTTCAGGCCAGCCTTGAGCTCACTTTGTAGCCCAGGCTGGTCTTGAACTTGCCACGGTCCTCCTGCCTCAGCCTCCTGTGTGCTGCGTTACAGGCGTGCGCCACCACAGCCGGCCAGGACTCAGTTTTGGCTTTTCTGTCCCCTTTCCTTGGTGTCTCTTGTGCTGCTTCCTGCTCTCTGCACACCTTGCTGCCAGGTCTTGACAAGCTGAGGAAATCAAGGACTTTCTGCTCACAGCCAGGTAAAGGACGCCAATCTGTCAAAATCTAAAACAGAAAATAAAGGTAGTGCGAAGCTTCAAGTTTGATGAGCACATAGCTTTATACCTTGGTCATCACACATATATTTTAGAATTACAGCCAAGATGACAAAGTAGCAGCACCACTGTATAATTCAAGGATCGCATGAACAGAAACAAAACAAAATCTAGGGCCGGGTGTGGTGACACACGCCTGTCATCCCAGCACTCAGGAGGCTGAGGCAGGAGTATCACTGCGAGTTCGAGACCAGCCTGGGCTACAAAGTGAGCTCAAGGCCAGCCTGAACTGCATAGTGAGACCCTGCCTCGAAGAGAGAAAAAACAAAACAAAACAAAACACTAAGCAAAAGTCTTTGTTCTGTTGCAGCAAAGGTGCTTATCTGAGTCACCCACAGAGGCCGGAGAGGGCATTGGAGGCAGGCAGTGGGCACCCAGTACCCGGCTGAGCACCAACCCCAAAGGGCAGGGGGCGGTGGTTACACAGTTCTAGTTTCAGGTCGAGTTCCGAGTCTACGGAGGGGGGTGGTGCTTGTATGATTTAGCACAGCTGTAGAAATACTACAAAGCATGGGCTCAGCCTGTGATGAAAGAGCAGAGGTGTGTGACATTTTACATAGGGGACAGGCAGTCTTACGACAGTGTGGGGTGGCATCGGGTTGGCCAACGATGACATTTACAAGAGCAAACTCAAGGAAACAGAACCCTAAGCTTTAAAATGGCACTAGAGCACAAGATGGCGCTGGTCTGCTTTTCTTTCCCAGAGTTCCTTTTTGCTGCTGTCGAGACAGAGTCTCGTGGTACCTGACCAGGCTGGCCTTGGCTTGGTGACCCTCCTCCTCAGCCTCCTGAGTGCTGAGATTATGTGCACATGCCATCATACCACAACTCAGGACTGTTGTTAGGTACCGATTCTTTTATGTTAATACCTTTTATGTGGAGATAAAGATAAGTATCTGCAGCTAAAAATGAAGCAACGCTAAGGCAAAAATGAACTGGGTCAAACTTGGTCACTGGATGTTATTCTACATACAGGTATGTTATTCAGTGACACAGTAAAAAGTGAAATAATAGCTGCATGTGGTGGTGCACGCCTGTAATCCCAGCACTTGGGAGGCTGAGGCAGGAGGGTTACTGAGTTCAAGACCAGGCTGGGCTACATAGTGAGTTCAAGGCAGCCTGACCTGTAAGGTGAGAGCCTTTCTCAAAAAACCAACCAACAAGCAAGCATAAACAAGCAAATAAAAAGAAAAAGTGAAAATGTATTTTGGCTACTTTAGGAGGTGCAGGTAGACCTCATGCAGGTTCTGACCTGTAGTGTCTGCCTTCAGTGAGCTGATGCAAGGAAGGGAAGAAAAGCGGGGTGTAAGGGCTAACACTATTCACACGCGAGTGTACTTCGCTCCTCACTTGCTCCCGACGGCCCGGATCCTCCCTGTCTTCCGTCTCTGCTCGTCAGGCAAAGGTCAGCGCCCGAAGCAAGCCCGCACCGAGCACGCGGCAAAGGAGGGATGAAGACACGACGCGGTTCTTTAGAAAAGATTTAATGTTTTTTGACACAGGCGTACGAGGACATTCGCTCACCGGACAGAGCAATTCGAGACACACAGAAATGGACGAGTTCACGTTACAACTCCAGCCGTGACGGTCTCACGCGTCCCGTTATCCCCGTGAGCGCTCACTAAACGCCCAGCATCCCGGCACGCCCGGCGAGCTCACCTCCCCCTCTGAAGGGCAGCGCAGATGGAGAGCAGTGAGAACCGCGGCACCGACCGCCGCTGCCACGGCATGCAGTGGGAATTCCCTCCCACCAGCTCAGGACCCAAGCACTCTACCACACGTTTAGTCAACAGCAGCTAGCCTCCTACAGTCTCGACTGCTACCTTAACTACTGCTCAGAGAACAGTGCGCAACACGCTTTCTTTAGTGTTCTTCTATTTATTTATTTGCCTTTTTAAACATAGACCATGCAGAGTACAATGATGCTCTTTCATCTCTGTTAGCAACACAGTACCCTAAAGGGTTACCCAGCAGCTATCTGACCTGCTGTGGACAGCACAGTATGGCTATTGTTTTTAGAATTACCAAGTCCTATGTACCGCATGTACCTGTCGGCTATTACTGCTTGCGCGGGTTAAACGTGTCTTCTGTGCCTTCTAACCTCTTCTAACACAGAAGCTGGGGGAGAGCAGTCACCGCACACACGTCTGCTGAAGTAACAGCGGCCGCTCTTCCCACTGGCGAGGGCCAGGGGCGGTTACACACTGAGATGGGAAGGGTCCGACGACGAGCACCCGGACATCTGCGCGTCCAGACGGCGGGCTGGTCACCACCACAGCTGTCCCTGGGCCTGGAGGGCCCTCTGCGCTAGGACCTCGGGAGCATGAGTATTTGAAGTCTGACGTATTTACACATTCTTTATACACGGGAGTTTTAGTTTGCATGCTTTCCTCTACCTTTACTTCTCGGTCATAGCGGAGGTCCGTGATCTGTGACAAGAGTGCTACTCCACTATTACTGCAGTAATTGTATATATTAATATATATTTGATATATGTCATCTCCCCCTGAATAACGTGAAGTAGTGTGTATGTATTTTACTTGTTTTGGGATACTGAGGAATGAATCCAGGACTCACCTGGCACTTTTATTTCTGAGACAGAGCCTCACTAAATTGCCTAGGCTGGCCTCAGACTTGTGACCCTCCTGCTCTGGCCTGAAAGCGCCTGGGATTTCAAGTGTGTGGCCCATGCTGACATAATGAAAGAGTTTTTATCATTACTTTCTTCCAAAAGAAGGCATAATGATCTAATTTATTTTTTGAGAAAAAAACAGACTAAGATCAACTTTCATTTAAAAAATAAGTACCATTAAAAATTATCAATTCAAATAAATGTTAAAAATCTTTTCCCTTTTATCATTTTTCAGACTTAAGGTATCAACATACTTTTCAAATTATTTTATTGAATTCAAGATAACTATTGAATTCTTATTTATAGTTTAATTATTACATTAAGGTTTTTGTTTTTGGTCTTTTCTTGAGACAGGGTCTCACTATGCAGTGCAGGCTGGCCTTGCGCTCTCTTTGTAGCCCAGGCTGGCCTCCCAACTTGCAACGATCCTCCTGCCTCAGCCCCCCAAGTACTAGGATTACAGGCGTGCATCACCACGCCTAGCTACACATTAAGATTGTTATTCATGTTGAACTTGTCAGTGTAGCTTTTTCTTAACAGAAAACCACTATCAACATGATTAGCTTCTTGTACACAAATTAAAGTTAGTTGTCAACTTTTAGAAAATTAACATATTTTTCCTCTGAAGTTCTCAAAATGACCAACAACTTCCTTTTTAAATGTAAACTATCTCACAATAGGAAACTGTAATTCAAGACTGACTTTATAAAGCTCTTTTTAAGAAATAAATTTCATAATGCTATTTTTCCCACATATTTTATAAGATTATTAGCACAAATAAGTTATGTTAAATATACTGGTGGCATTAAAAACACATTAATCTATCAGAGAACAAAATAAAAGCACGTTTTAAAAGTCTGTACTCCACTTACGAGCGTGCACTCTCGGTGGACACGCCCTCGTTCTGTGTAATGAAATGTGCACCGAGAGGCCGTGCAAGGTGCTAAGAACACGCAGGGAGGGGTGGGAACCGCGGGGCGCTGTGTGCGCTGACCCCGACGCGGAGGTCCCGGCCCGTCCTCCGTGTTCTTTCGCTCACATGCCAGCTGAGGACTACACAGTTTTTCTCTTTCTAACTCGGGTTGCCACACATTTGAAGAACACTCACTAAAAAGAAAACCTTCCATTGATGATGGTAGCTTTCCTTCTGATTTAAATTGTCAGCTGTCTGCACATTAAAGAGAAACGGGGCTGGGGTACCGCTCAGCGGGACCGCACCTGCCTCGCGTGCACGCGGCCCTGGGCTTGCGCCACAGCACTACAACAGATACGAACAAAGAGAAAAAAACCCGATGCTTCTATAACCTTACTTAGTTGGGCATCGGTATTACATGAATGCAATTTCTGAAATGACTCCAGCTGGTGCGTATAAAGCATTTACACTGTATTATCACTTGTATTCCATACTATAAATGGTTGCATACATATTAAATATCCATGAAGCAACTACAAATCATAAAGTGTCTCAAGAACAGTAGCAATTGACCAGGCTTGCGTCTCACAGCTGAAAGGACAGTATTGGCCGTTTTCATTGGTCAGTTCTGGAAGACCTTTCCAATGAGATCTGAAAAAAGGAAAAAGGAGGACATTTTATAAGACACAGTCTAATGCATACTGATAAAAGAGGGCAAGGCTGGTGATTTCTGTCACGTAGTAAAGAAAGCAAAGTTAAAGCAATATACTCAAGACGTACACATAAATAAAGAATTTAAATGGAGGAGTTATTCTTTGATATTTTGTATTTGAGATTTAAGACTTTAAAATACAAAAAAAATCCCCTTATGCATTAAAACAAAGAAAAAATTCATGCTAAGAAATATACGGATAAATATCCTCTCAGACATAATTTATTCTTTCAGATTAAGTTTGTAAGACTCAAACTATAATTACGTGTGATCTCCATACAGTATGAAACTCAAAGAATAAACACTAAGAATTGTAACTAGGAAAAGTGTCAACTTCTCACTCTACTGAACAATAACAAACTTATCTGTTGCGTACTTATGCTCTAACACTCAGTATTTAGACACCCCTCGTTTAACGACCGTCATGGCCTCGTGAACAGATCACGAACGAGCTGGGTGCTCAGTGAGGAGCTGAAAACTACGTGAATACTCAGAACGGCGAAATGGGCGAAGGAAACTCCGGCTTGACTCTGCTGTCACGCGCGCACCCCCTCCACGCAGTGCTGCAACGGGTACCGGAACGTAACCCTACAGTACTGTAGGGTACAGCACCATCAGCAAACTACCGTACTATATGAACAAGTGTGCTGTACAAAAAGAGACACTCAGGTTCTGAAAACAGGATGTACAGGAATGTACAAAAAAGGCTGTAACTCCGAAACGTCATTAAACAGGTAGGCCTTTTAAAAAGGAATAGATGTGCTGGGGATGTAGCTCAGCCGCACAGCGCCTGCCCGGCAAGCGTGAGGTCCGGAGTTTGATTCCCCATACGAAAAAAAAAAAAAAGAAAGAAATCAATTAACCAAGGACTGTATGCACCGTTCTCTCATTTAATGCTTGCGAAATAGGTACTCTTGGAGCTCACACCAAGGGTGAGGGTGGTCCAGATGGGAATCTACGAAGTGTGGGGTGTGCAGGCCCACAGCGGGAAGGTCACTGACATCTTAGGGCACTCCATCAAGGGCTGTCGGAGCCAGAGCACACATAAACAGGCTGAGAGCATAGGCATGGAAAAATACACGTTGTGCTAAAAAGTACTGAAAAAAATAAGTTTGGAATAGCCAAATTAATAATCATACAAAGTACATCAAGAAGCAGAGACAGCGATGATAAAGAAGGTTATTTCATAATGATAAAGAGATTAATTCATCAAGAGAATATAATGATCCCAAATGTTTGTGTACCCTGTCAGGGATAGTGGCATACGCCTGTAATCCCAGCACTTGGGAGGCTGAGACAAGAGGATTGCTGTGAATTTAAGGCCAGTCTGGGCTACACAGTGAGAACCTGTCTCAGAAAAAATGAAAAACAAAACAAAACAAAAACAACATCTAGGCTGGGCGTGGTGGCACACGCCTGTAATTCCAGCACTCGGGAGGCGAGGCAGGAGGATCTTTGTGAGTTCGAGACCAGCCTGGGCTACAAAGTGAGCTCAAGGCCAGCCTGAACTGCACAGTGAGACTCTGTCTGAAAAAGACAAAAAAACTCCCAACATCTAAATGCTTATGTATCTAGTAATACTGCTTCAACATACATGAAGAAAAAACTCACACAACTGCAGGGAGAAATAGACAATTATAGTAGGAGAGTTCAGTACCCTGCCAGTACAGTAATTCATAGACAGGTAGACAGAAAACACGAAGGAATTTGAGTATCACAGTGAGCCAATCTGACTTGACTCTTCTAGAGAACATTCACCCTAAGGGTCACAGAACACGCATTCTTTCCAGCTGCAAACAGGTGAGTGACTGACACAGAACATATGCTGCGCTGTAAAACACCAACAAGCTTAGAAGAATCAGAATCGCAAAAAATATGTTCCTTGAACACAGGAGAATTAAATTTGAAAGCAAAAATGGTGAGGAACAACTCTGGAAAATTCCTAAATGTTTAAAAAGGAAACAATGCCTGTCTATGTAAGCTACGGGTCAAGGGGGAACCAAAGGAGAAAACAGAAAACTTCAAAGGAATGAAATGTACGCCCAGCACAGCAGGACCCTCGGAGCACCGGTACTCGGGTACTGGACGGGAGCTTACAGCAGGTAAGCACTGCACCACAAAAGAAGGAAGGTCTGCGCTCAGAGCAATTTCTACCTTAAGAAGACAAAGAGCAACTTAACCTACGTAAGTATAAGACAGGGAATAATAAGGAATAGAGTAGAAATAAAACAAGAAGAGCAACAGAGAAGTGTCAATGAAGCAAGTAACTGTTCCTTTAATTAGATTAAAAAACTGATAAAATTTTAATCATATAAGTCACGAAAAAAGAAAGAAAATGAAATGTAGTATTAGGAATGAGAATCCACTGATAATTAAAAAAGTAGTACTTCACTTTAGATAAAACCATTTCTTGAATTGTGACAAGCATTTTTGACCTATCCTCATTTAATCCCCCCTGCCCCCCGTACCAGGAACCGAACTCACGACCTCGCGCTTGCCAGGCAGGCGCTGCGCTGTGCCGCTGAGTTAAATCCCTAGCCCCTGTCCTTGTTTAACCTTGTCAGCAATTCATGAGACTAACCTGTTCTCACTTCACAAAGTCCTTCTAGAGAGTCAGGTGGCTTGCTCAAAGCCATACGCACAGCAGGCAGCGCGGACAGAGTCTGAGGCCCGCCCTGGACCTGAAGCTCACACCTGAGGCACCATGTCCTGCACACGGCTACCGCAGGCTGTGGCAGGAAGTGAATGGAGGGTAGTTCTGCGGGAACTAAGGGATTTGGCATTCCTTCTGAAGACAATGGGGGGTTTCTGAATGTTCTGTAGCTGTACTTCAGTATAATTAATCTGGCTCGGAGGCTGCTCCAGAGATCATTAAGCACAAAGTAGGAAGCGGCAACAGAAGGAAGAAGGTGCTCTGTGAGCGAGAGGACAGAGGCAGAGGAGTCTCAGCCGCTCCTGAGGAGGCTCTAAGCAGCAGCGAGGACAGACCCCAAGCGCCAGGGTACGCGCGCTCGGAGAACGTGAACGCGGAGGTACGGCGACGAAGCTACGAAGAAAAGCGTGTGTGGCAGTGCCGGCAAAGTGCCTCTTGGGGGAGGCGCCCCGGGCAGGCCGCAGCTGTGAGGCCAGAATTATCGGAGTAAGTGCAGACACGACAGCCGCGAAGTGCGCAGGCCGGAGAGGCTCAGAAAATTAAGAAGAGAAAAGCTGGCTCTCAGGGAACGCGTGTGCTTCGACGCTAAGAACAGCAGAGACAGTAAGGAGGAGCCAGGAGTGTGAGGGTCCGAGGACAGCCTGGGGTTCTGACCCCTTGGATTTTATTGGAAGCTCCACCAGATGACCTGCCACCTGATTCTGCACCAATTACTTCACCTTTCAGCTTCATTTATAAAATGGAATAATTAATGATAGCTCATATCTGAGTTACCTTGTCCATGTTATATGTATTAATCCTCAAAACAACCACATCTCAGCCATCATACAGATGAGAAAACTGAGGTTTACAGAAGTGACTTCCCCACTGCTATTAAGTGGAGAAGTGTATAATAATAATAGTGAAGAAGATGGTGATCATGATGATAGCAGCAGCAATTTTACAGTTGTTTGGGTTTAATGGGTCACGTTACATTCATACATTTATAGCAATGCCTAGGACACAGGTAACTGCTTAATAAATATTACTTGTTAGCTGGGCATGGTGGCGCATGCCTGTAATCCCAGCACTCGGGAGGCTGAGGCAGGAGGATCATTGAGAGTTCAAGACCAGCCTGGGCTACAAAGTGAGCTCAAGGCCAGCCTGAACTGCATAGCGAAACCCTGTCTCAAGAGGTCCAAAAAAAAAAAAATTACTTATTATTACATGTAGCACTAAACAAGTGAAACCTTATGCTAGCTTTTTTTTTCTTTCTTTGTTTTTTGTGGGTACTGGAAATCGAACTCAGGACCTTGTGCTTGCCAGGCAGGCGCTGTGCCGCTGAGCTGTATAAAAGAGAGAAGCAACTGTCTTAAATCACTTTCCTGTTGCTCGGACACAACACCCAGCACCTGCAGTTTAAAACGGGGCAGGCTTTGTCTGGCTCATGGTCCACAGAAGTCTCAGGTGATCCCAAGGCCGAGGGAGCACAGAGAAGGGCCCCTGGAGGACAGAGGCTCACAGCCGGGGTAGGGATCCAGAGTGACGGAAGGACGGGGGTGAGACGCCCTGCAGGTCCTGCCCCTGCCGTAGGCAGCTGCGTTAGATAGGAATATTACAGGCAGTCAGACAGGGCCAGGCCCTCGAAGGACCCAACAGGAAAGGTACTATCTGCTGTGGGCCAGACCTCAAGACAAAGGACTCAACAAATGCACCCACACACCTCCCTGGGGATGGACCTCAGGGACTGATACTCTAAATAGGCAGCGATCACCCTGAAGAGTCCCTGACCCAGCCCCTTACAGCTGTATCCATGCCCGCTTGCTACCTGACTCGCTTCCCCATTTGATCCCAGTTTGATCAATTTTACCTGAACAATTCTCACTGGCTGACCATAGTTTTGTCCACTTTCCCCTACCTTGGACCCGCCTCACCTCGTGGTTTTGCTCTATAAAAGTCCCTGGAAAAGACAGAGTCGGGGCAACGCACTCGGGCCCCTCTTCTGTCCCTCTTTCCGACAGCTTTTTTCCCTCAATAAATACATTCTGCTCTCAACCTCCGTTGTTCCTAAAATTCATCCTTCGATTTTAGAGAACACGAACTCATCCCAGATACCGTTCAGGTTGGGAGTTTTTATTTTCCTGTATCACCCCCCATGACCCTCCTCTTCCGGCCGACCCTGTGTCCTGCAGCCCCCTCTACCCCAGTCCACCTGGAGGAGCCCCACCTCGGAGCTCAACTAGAACACAACAGCGACGACGTCAGAGACCAGGGCCAGGTCGGAGAGAACCGAAGGGAAGTCACGGGACCGGAGCAAGAAGCACCCCTGCTGGGCGGCTCTTCCAGAGCGGCGGGGGCAAGAACCGGAACGCAGGAGGTAAAGCAGACTAAGCGGGTGGTCAAAGCGTAGAAGGAATGACAAGGTGATTCCCATAGGACTGTGTTCTGAGAAGAGACAGGACGAAGCTTGAGTTACTGTAGGAGATTTTATTTTAGAATGGGCCAAAAAGTCTCTTTGTAGCTTCAGTGGGAAAGACCAAGTGGAATACAAAGAAAGGAAATGACTGCAGCGAGGTCACGAACAGGTCAGAGGTGGTCTGATCACAGGTAAAAGCGGTGTGACCCCTGAAACGCCGAATACTCTTACTTTTCACAGACAAAAGGAACAGGAGAAGTAAATGCAAATAATGAGAAACACCGTATGACGCGGAACGGAACACAGAACGTCCACATCACAGACGCACACACAGCCTGCAGCGGGGTAGAGGCCTGAAGCGTGGGCTTCGGTGGCGACTTTAATGAAAACGAACTCTGACGCAACATTCACGGGCACAGAAGCCCCCTGTGCTCTTGCAGAAAAGGGCATGCAATTCATGCTGCTTCTGCGCAACTGTTCGGCGTCGTAAGATGTAGATATATAGTTTCAGATAATTTGGAATTTGAGAAATTAAGCTAGATTCTGGCCGAATGGCTACCCTTAGGAAAACATCGAACTCCGACGCTGTTTATCTGCCGGTAATCTGCGGCGGCTGATACACTGCGTCAGCTTGAGACACTGGGGTTCACTAAGGGCCTGAGCAGGGCCGGGGTCCTCACTCTCTGAACACCCTGAGCCTGCGCAAGAGGAGGGCACGGAGACGGAGTGAGCGCTTCACCCGCCCCGGGGCCAGGAGCCTGCTTACTTGTTCTCCCCATTTCTCACTCCTGTCCCTTTTGCTGTCTTCCACCACCAGGAACCACTGCCCCTCAGCCACGCAACCCTGCCGCGGAGCCAGCTGATTACGGACTGCAACCTCCACAAACAGAGAGCTAAATAAACCTTTCCTTCCTTGACTGTGGGTGTCAGGTATTTTGTCTCCGCAACGAGAGAAGAGTAACTAAGACATAATTAGGACAGAGGAAGTGAGAAACAGTTTCTGAGATAATAGTCAAAAGACCAGTTTTGAACTATAATAAAAGCATTTCTGAAGATTATTATTTTTGCAGCACTCAAGAGTGAGGCTATGGTCTTCATACCGAGCTGTACCTCTAGCCTCTTTTTTTTTTTTTTTTTTAAAAAAAAGTCTTGCTGAGTTGCCCAAGTTAGGTTTGAACTTGTATGTACGTATGTATGTATATATGTATGCATTTACTTATTGATTGATTGATTGATTGATTGTCTTTTTGAGACAGGGTCTCGCTGTGCAGCTCAGGCTGGCCTTGAGTTCACTTTGCAGCCAGGCTGGCCTCGAACTTGCAATGATCCTCCTGCCCCAGCCTCTGGAGTGCTGGGATTACAGGCATGAGCCACCACGCCCGGCAGGTCTGAACTAGTGACCCTCCTGCCTCAGCCTTCCAGAGTGCTGAGATTAAACATGTGAGCCTGGTTTAAAATTCGTTCTTTAACTTATCTTTAAATTAATTAACTTGAAAGGCCCAGGCTGAATAGTTTTAGCAAAATTTTGTATTGATTCTATGCTAACCATATCTCAAAATAACAGCTAAATTTTGAAAATCTAAGACTAGTTTACATAGACTTCTACAATATCAAATCCTTATGTATTTTTATGTATTTCATCCTGAGATGAAATACAACTTTAATGAAGGGGAAGGCAAGGTGAAAATTACATGACAGAACGTAGGTTAAGGACTGAATGTTTCCTATTTTACTGGGATTCTAGAGCTTTCAGAAATGAATTCTGTGGAAACTTTGCTAACCTAATACTATAAACTGACCCAACACTAGTTATGAAAATTACATGCTATCACAACTTACCTCTCAAGATGAACATAATGTCGGGAAAGAACGTTTTTAACCAAAAACACAGTCTTTGCAGTAGTCTCTGGACCCATCAACTTGGAAAAATATAACTTTGCACGAAGAAAATATCCAACAGGCCACAGCCACTCCTTAAAAAGATCATTTAAAAGTAAAGAAAGGAAAAAAAGAGCCGTGAATCTAAAATTACAGTACTTAAAAAAAATTTAAACTGAAAAATCAGACATAAAATTCTTACAGGTCCTTGATGATAGTTGAAACCTCTAGCAAGATTGTAGTTGTCATTGTCTAAGGCGTTGTCGTAAATTCCACAGTAAACCATGTCACTGCAAAATGATTAGAATTTAGTTAAAGGGAAGGTCGGATGCCTTATACAAAGCAGTAGAAAAATTTCAATAGCAAAGGCAAGAGAAGTGATCAAATCATTTTGTCCTCCAAGCTATAAAAACCCCACATTAGTGCCCTAGCCAACCTTGAGTCGCACACAGCGGGTTTAGTGGGCTTTAATACTGTGCTTAGGGATGATGATGAGGGTGAGGATGATTTTTGTCTTTTTGAGACAGAGTCTCACTGTGCAGTTCATGCTGGCCTTGAGCTCACTTTGTAGGCCAGGCTGGCCTCGAACTCGCAGCAATCCTCCTGCCTCAGCCTCCCGAGTGCTGGGATTACAGGCACCACCACGCCCAGCAAGGGATGATTATTATAAAAGAGTATAAAATATTCCGACATCTTGCCTTTGAGGAGTTAGTGTCACACTAAATATTGCTTGGTTTAAAGTCAACTAAGTCTCTGATCTCTGTATAATAATTTAAACACCCACACACATTTTTTTTGTTTGTTTTCTGCGACAAGGTCTTGCTATGTAGTCCAGGCTCGCCTCAAATACACTACATAGCCCAGGCTAGCTTTAAACTCACAGTGATCCCTCTGCCTCTGAGATTACAGGCATGCACCACCATGACTGGCCCAATTGTTTATTGTTTTTAGAGTCAGAAAAAAGCACTAGAAAATATTTGGCACAGACTAGTTCTATTATTTATTTTATTTTTTGAGGCAGGGTCTCACTAGGTAGTACAGTCTGGCCTTGAACTCGCTTACGCAACCCAGGCTGGCCTTGAACTCACAGTGATCCTCCTGCCTCAGCCTCCCCAATGCTGGGATTATAGGCGTGTGCCATCACGCCTGGCAGGACATACTAGTTTTATAAAGTTAAAGATCTGAGGGCAAGTCATTTGGGAAGCCCCTGTCTCTCAGGGGCTATGCCTATTTCCCATTCCTACTCCCCCATTTCTACTCCCCATTCCTTTTCTCCAATAAATTTTCACACTCTTAAAACAAACAAACAAACTTGACTACCGAATACAGGCCCACCAGAGGCAAGTGGAACACTGATGCTTACTGAAGATACAGATGTCTGAATGCAACAAAAGGGATGCGATTTGTAATAAAACATTAATGGCCAATGTCAATGAACTCTGAGTAAACATAACATCAATAATATCTTACACGATGTTCCAACTTACTCTGGATCTAAGGTTTTCATGCCTAGCGGACCCAGCAATTTTTTTTCTGCAATCTCCAAAGCTTTCCATGCTTTTCCTGCAGTAAAGAGCTCAGGAGCCTAATAAATGTCAAAAACAAATATACCAACTTTTTAAAGCCATGGAAGAATTAATTCCCATCCACATAAATTCATCACAAACTTGGAAAAGGATGAAAATGATCTGAAAAAAATACAGCATGGGCCAGAACTTGAGAGCAGTGCCTGACGAAACCTGAGCCTGCCAGGCTGCGTGGAGGCGCTGTCTGTGGCTGAGCGCGTGTCCCGGAGTTTCTCCTCCTCACGCCACTCAAAGAGCACGCACAGACCCCAACAGCCGCCACCACCGTAGTAAAGGTAGAACTCGCTTAAGGCATTTCATCCCCTCTTCAGAGGGTTTCTAAGCATCTCCTGTAAGTGTATCTGAGCCTGGTTTTTTTGCTTTTATGCTGTTAGGGTCATAATAAAATCCTGCAGAAGAACTCGTACTTCCGTAGCATGGCTAGTCACTGACAGGGAAGGCGAGGAGCTGGCACCAACTTCAACGTGACCGAGGTCTGCACTACGTTTAACGGTCACGTGAAATAAAATGTGCAGAGAGCCAAAGCTACTTTCATGCGCCTTTGTGCTTTCCATCACACTATGATTTATAGTACCGTACTCAGTACTTTTAGGGGTGCTTGGGATCAATCCCAGGGCACTGTAACGTGCCAGGCAAGCAAGCGCTGCACACTGAGCTCTCCTCCCGTGTGTTCAGGAATCTTTTAGCTGTGGACACAGCTGGACAAGCATGGACTGATACAATTACTTCTTTGTCTTACTGCTTCCACAGATTACTGCTAGGCTAAGTGCAGAATTCCTGGCTAAATGAACTCATTAGAGCAATGCAACGAAGAACACACAAGCGGACTTCAGCTGCGCAGGAAGCTCCCCAGCTTAGAGCTCTCCCGTGTCTAGAGGCTCCGGCCATCGAAGCACAGGGTCGGGGACACGGACGCTCAGCTCCCTGGCAGCTGGGTGGTGGCCACCTGCAGCAGTCAGACCTCGCACACGCAGCCTAAAGCGTTCAGCCCAGCACCTGTACGAACGTCACTTTCTACCTAAGTGGTAACGTGGAAAACACTGGGAAGCACTTCATTAGTCACCATTTCTAATCTTGATACAGAACGTTACAGGTTAAAGGTAACACGCACACCTTATTAATTAGACAGGACTACATTAAACTAGTATATAACACGTCTTTTACAGTTAAGTGAGTTTGAAAACAAGCAGGTAATGAAAAACTAAGTACGTCCCATCACAAACTTTATGGCAGGCTAGAACTGTACCACCGAACCACCAACGCCGTGCACACACCACAAACTCTACGAGCTTCGAAAGTTCAGGTCACTCACCACGACCATTGCGATGGTGAAGTTGGGCCTGAGCTGGTAGTCACACCAGGGACTCGAAGCGCCGTAACTGTCTTTGTAGATGCCCCGTTTGTGGACAAGATTCGGATGCTTCTCATTAGGGTCTGAAGGGTCTTCTGAAACGTGAAACAGCTTTTCAAAGCTGTCTTGTATCTTCCTGTTCCACTCATCGTAGGAGAAGGCCACCACCTTTCCTGAGGAGTGACGCAAGAGGGCCGCTTAGACGTTCGAGGCAATGCAACACCCAGCTACGTCAAAGTCGTATTCAGTTCACTTATTTTCATCTTCCAGGAGTAAATACATTTCCTACTTTCTGAAAATGTGACTAGTCTGAATTGGGATTGCTCTAAACGAAAAATATTCACTGGATTTTGAAGACTTAGTCCCTCCCGAACGGAATGTAAAATGAATTAGGAATAACTTTATATTGCTTAATATGTTTAACAATATTTTGTGTTGTTAATAAATACTGACTTAAATAAAATATAATTAATTTCACCTGTTTCCTTTTACTTTGTTCAAATGTAGCGACTGTAAAATTTTATTTTTAAAAATTATTTATTTATTTAGTCATTTTGAGACAGGGTCTCACTATGCAGTTCAGGCTGGCCTTGAGCTCACTTTGTAGCCCAGGCTAGTCTTGAACTCACA